TGTTTCAAGAGAAAACTATAATTGCATGAGAAAAAATATATTATATATTATTCGTTTGATAAATGTTTGCAAGTTCTTAACTGTGTGAAAGGTTAATATATAAAATCAATATATTGAATACACAAAAAGATTATTCTATTTTTAACAGATCTATTTGTATTTATACAATATATAATAGATACATCAAATTATATTGAAGATTCCGCATATATCTTTATTGTAATTTTTGAATATATAACAAAAATATCCATTTACAACAGTGCACCACATGGATAGTTATAATTAAACATTACGAAACAATATGCATCAAACGCTATGAAAAATATTTTTTTTTTATTATTTGACAGATTGTCATTCATTATATCTAATGTCTAACGGTATAACTTCAAAATAAGGCAATCGACATTTATTTCGACGGAGCAAATCCCACTCGGTTATTTCCTTGATCAAACACGGTATAATAAGGACCAATAAATACATCGCCCAGAATCCAAAAGTCTAAGCCAGAAAGTTTCTGGAAGCCGCTCATACATGTTGCTTGCTCCTGCAAAAAATTAAATACACAGTGCGAATACTTCATATTCTTAAATAATTTAAACCGATTTACAATCCATAATACTTACTTGAAGAATATAATCGTGAGGGGTAAGATTAAAGGGGTTACCATTTAGAACAAAACTGATTGTAGGCAACTGATTAATCGTACTACAATCCACCTTTGAACAAAAGATAATATTAAATTACTAATTAGTCATTTAACAAAATATTAATGTATATATTCAGTAACATTTTGTGATTTTTTTATAGAAAGATATGCTATTGTGAAAAATATGATTGTTTACTTACGTTTCCATTACTATCAGTTCCAATTTGTTGGTTAATAACGTCGATATCGTCTGATGGTCCAGCTATTAGTGAGGTACCCGTGTCAGCGATAGCTTGGCTATTCGGGGACAAGGTATTACCCGCTATTTTGACACTACAACGCAATAACATTAAAATTTTGTTGGAACATAATCAATGTAATTAAAAAAAAAGACATACCTATCCAAAGCAAATTGCCAGTATCCTTCGCGAATAACAGGAACATATGTGAGGTTACCTTCGAAATGACTGTTATCGATACCACCCAATATCAATTCACCACCTACTTCGGCCGAAGGGTCTCTGCATAGATTACATATTTTCTCAATATTATTGTATAATATAAATATATATA